GCACGGGGAGTGGCTTGGCCATGACATCAGCCAATTCCCTCAGGACTCTGGGATGCATCTCATCAGTCCCATAGACTTATATATATAGAGGTTTCTCAGGTGGTCCTGAAACTGATCTTCTCTTACAGCGGGAGGGACTTTGCTGCCCAAGTCCCCACCTTGCAGCCCACCCACTCGAGAGGTCTGGGAAGAGAGGTTGCCACTGAAGACTGAGCCAAAAATGTCGTACAGTACCGCAGCCTGCTCCTCGTCTGTTATTACCGGTCTTGCTGGCACTTCTCAACTAATATAGTTCCTTAACCGTTAGCAAGCATCCAGAAAACACTTACCTTTACAGAGGGGAAAGAAGGTATTTTTGTGTTGGAGAGCAGTGAAAGCTGCTTCTGCTTCCTTTGAGATTCCAGCAGAGACAGAGTTGGACAATTGGTGATTTTAAAGAGGGGACAAATGGTGATCCCTCCAGGAAACTCTTCTTCGTTTTCTGTTCTGCGAGATGGATCATTGCTGAGCGGCTCCGTGCACCTCTTGCCTGCTAAAACCTGCTGTGCTTTGCTCAGGGAAATGGAGAAAGCAGGCAGAAAGCAGAGTTTCTCAGCTGCAAGGCCAATACTAGAGGAGAGTGGCAGCCACATGGTTTGCTGTGCTGGGTCAGACTGCTGCAGCACATGTTTGAGAGAGGTGTGTGCCTTCCTGTCTCATGCAAGATGTCTTGCTAGCTCTGTGTAGTTCCTGGCATGTCTGAGGGGTGGAGTTCCTTCCTGATCTTTGGATGATCTTGATCAGCTTAAGCTATAAAGCAGGAGATTTGATTTACTCTGACTTAGCTTGCATAACTGCAGACAGAATTATGGGTTGGCAAGCCTTTCTGCACATATAATGGCTCGGACTGAGAGAGGGATCATGCTCTGATGCCTCCCACATGGCAAATAATTTCCATTATAATTCATTCTAATTTGTCTTATTTCCTTGATTAACTTTATAATGCAGTAAAGTGCCATTTTCACTTGAGCTATTCTCTGTTAATTTGTTTTAGTATTGTCTGTAATGATATTCATTTAATCTTTGTCATTGCTAATTTTAAAAATCACTGATGTAAAGCCAGAAAGTGGTAGAAAACCATGAAAATTGGTAGTTTGAGAGTCCTGGAATTGTCACACGGGGACTGGCAGCCCGTGAGGGGCAGTACAAAACCGGTGGTGGGGTAGGAGCTGGCACCCGGATGGTGGCAGCCCTGGGCTCTGGGGGCCAGCCTCAGAGAGGCCACACTGCCTCTGGCACAGCAGCTGAGACGCCAAAGCGATGGGACCTGGTGGAGCAGAACGCTGTTTGATCCCTTGGATGTGGTGAGAGAAGCCCAAATTCTTCTGCATAAAGTAATATCCTCTCGCCTTGTTTTCGGGGACGGGAGGTTGTTCTTCTAGCACATGCTAGCTGCTTTTGGTAAGGCTGGGGCACTGCAGAGGTTTTGTGGGGGACAGCAGCAGCGTGGAAGTTCCTTCAGCTCTTTAAGGATATGTGAGCTCACTGCTCTGACCACCTGCCTGCTCCTGCTGCCTGTCCTCGGACACGTCTGTCTGCAGATCCTGGCAGCCACAGCTGCTTTCATCCCCGACCAAGGCTAGAAAAGAAGGTGGCAAGAAGTCTTTTGATTCTGCTTGCTCAGTAGCTTGAAAGCTGGAGCATTCACCAGGGTGGGCTGTCTGGGCTTGTGCCCTCTGTCACCACATTCTGGGCTCTCCCAGAAAGTAAGTCCAGTGACTGGGTGGCTTGTTTGGCACGGAGAGGGTCGGAGCTCCAGCCTGGTGCACTGTACAGGTCGCAGTCACTGAGCAGACAAGGTCCTCCAGGACTCAAGGTGCCTAAGCTCCCTAGGGGTCTGTAGGTCTTAGTGTTTGTAAGGAGGGTCATGTTGTGTTTCCTGGCAGTAGAAAGATGTGTCCCTCAAGTCACAGTAACATCTGTCACTGCGAACAAGCTCTCTGCTGTGCTAAATCTGCCCTTCTTCGTGAAGTGTTTGCAGCAGAAGTGATCATCGAGGAAGCTTTGTGAAACAGCTGAATCTTTTTGCATAGAACTGGATGAATCCCGATGGCTCTGTTATAGCTTTCCATCAGAGACTAGCTCGCTCTCCTCATGTGTGTGCAGAGACTTCATCTCACACATGCTGCCCTCCCAGGCTGAAGAGCAAAAAGCTGATGAAGCAGGGGGTTTTTCTTGATTTATACTGCTTTGTTCTTTCTGGTTTTGCCTTCCCAGACTGCAGGTGATCGCTGATCAACTCATGGAAAGGTTCGTGGCCTCCGGCCTGATGCTTAAAGAATGGGATAGGGTGAAACTGCATGCTACAGTCATGAACACTCTCTTCAGGAAAGATCCAAGTGGTGCGTATCCCTCATCCTTACTGATAAATACATTTAAAGTAGTACCTCTGAACGGGAAGTACTTTTGTTGGCTTTTATGTTTCGTTTTTTTAAATTTTGTGGTTTTTCTTAATCTCAAAAATACCTACAAGGTTGTGGGGAGATGTCACTAAATAAAACCCAGAAGAAAATGAAAAGGCAGTCAGCAGAGCTGGAGAAGGCAGGCATGCTTTGAGCGCTTTCTGGATCTTTTCTAAGATTCTTTGTCATAGCTTCAAAAACACTGTTCCCCAATCGCACTCACAAGATCTGGCCCAGAGAGGAATGCATTCATGTACCATGTGAGGTCTTGAGCGCTCTGTACCCCAACATGAAGTTGGAATTCAGTAACAACTCGACGTGCTGTGGTGACCTTTAAACGAGACAAAAACATGGTCCTCTGGTCAAGTTAAAGATTGCCTGTTGGCGTAGGAACATGATTCCAGTGTCGTTCTCGTTAAATCAGATTCAGATGGCTATGAGGCCAAATATGAGCTGTTGTTGAGAGTATAGTGTCTGCTGTCTCTGCCAAAAGGTTGTCTGCTCTAGCAGTCAGTAGCATCATTGTTATCGCGGTACTTTCTAAAGCAGCCTCAGTTGCATGGCGTTTCGGGAGGGGCCTTGTTCTCCATGTGCAAACATGCATATGCTCTGGCACTGGTGTGTAGTTTGCAAGCCTTAACAGCACTGCACTAAAGCTTTTTGTAGCTTTCTCTGGCGCAGTGGCCTCTGTGTCGTGCCAATAGGTTATGTAGAGGATTCTCCAGTTACCGCTGCTGTGAGTCTCTCTATGGCCAATGATAACAGCGGGTGGTTTGTGTCACAGTTTTCTGTGCACCCAGCAGCAGACTGTGGGGATGACTGCTACTAAAGTCATAAAGCATACTCAGGCAGTAGAAACCCTGAAAAGACGGGGCTTAGCTCTCTCAAATTGAGCCTTGAAAATTGGTGAAAAATGTGAGCTGGTGTGGCTCGCTGTTAGGGAAGGCAGATGGGCAGCTGGGTCTGGCGTTATGAGTCTGTATTCTGAACAACCCCATGAGGCGTGTGAGGCATTCAGACACAATGGTGAGAGCGTTACACAGATAGCCATAGAGGTCGCTTTGTATTCAATACAGGATTTGAATAGCGTGCTAGGTGTGAGTGGGACTTCATAGTTAATGCTGGAGATGAAAGAGAAATATTGAATATATTCACTGAGTGAGGCAGAGGTACTGTGGAAAGAACAGGTCATATACTTAGGGATTATATAAAAATCCAGACATGCTCTGGGGAAATGGATCTAAGACGTAAGCATTTGGCAGTTGCTGTAGGCCTAGGTTGCTGTTCTTGGTGTCTGTGTGTGTGGCTGCGTGCCCACCCCGCAGAAACATACACACCACACGTATGTGCTTCCCGGAGCGGGCGGCGGAGGTTTGTATAGGTGCTGTCCAGACCGTGCCTGGCATTGTGCTCGTGTGCTCAGTCTGGTGTTTGGTGCTGTTCCAGGCGATGCAAGCGCTTACAGTGCTGACTCTCACCCTGGCAGGCCGTGGGATTAAAATCAGCCAGAGAGAAGCAGATGTGTTGCACTGAGCCATCAGCCCTACAGAACTGCCCTAGCAGTAGCTATGATTTAGGGTCTTTCCTCCAGGTAATGTGGGTGATCCCGATAGAGGCACCAATTCCTGCGTATTCAGCCTTGTTCTTTTTAAAATCGAAGTGGAAGTGTTTTTGCACGAAGAACTGGGCAAAGATGGTTTATTAGCTGGCAGCGGATTTTGAGGAGGGAAAGGGAGGGGGTGAAGTATAGCAGACACAGTTGTCCCTTCTGAAGCTCATTCTGGTGGTGGCTTTTCTCTTCACAGCTGAAGAGCGAAACAATGCAGTGACTGGTAAATCATCTTTCAAGGAACGGGAGTCATTTAATGGCCAAAATATCCTCAAGGTCAGTATGAAACAATTAGGGAAATCAAGCCAGCTGTGGATATTGTACAGCCAAAAGAGGTTGAAACACCTCTGCAAGACTGCTTTTGTCCTAGGCTTATGGGATTTCCCGGGGGGGAGGGGGGAAATCTGTTTAGAAAATAAACAATCCAGATCACTCGTAATTGGGAGCATTACAGTATTTAACAGAAGCGTTCTTAAAGCTGGTGAGGCTCAGATCAGGAGTGTGTAGCACGAATTCTAAGTGGGTGTTCGTGTTGTCGTTTACTTTGCTCGTGCTTTACTCTGGAGACTCAGGCTCATGTCGATTCTCAGCCCACCAGAAAGGAGTACTTTGTTGCTCTTGTTCTACTCACTCATATATATTTATGAAACTAAAACCAACTGCCATTTCACTTACTCTTTTCTTCTTTTGTTTAATCTCTGCTATTGATTTGCATGGTTTTGCTCTAGAAAAATAGTAGATAGCAGTAGGGAGTCCCACCAGCCGGGATCTGAGGGCTTTGGCAGTGATCAGAGGGTAGAAAGCAAGATCCCCCAGACCGTGGAGATGGGTAAGACTCACAGGGGAGCATCTGCAGCCTCCCAGACTTTGCTAGCCAGGGATGAGGCTGGAAGCAGCCTCTGCTGCTCATCCAGATGGCAGTGTCAGACTGATGCTGTTGTGCTTGGCCCCTGCAAGTGTCCAGAGAGAAAAAACAAGCACAGAGAAACAGAAATGGAAAACAACACTGGGTTGTAAGCAAATTTGCAGTCCTCATTGTGTGAGGGGATTTGTTGCAGGCAGCTATGATAAGAGGGAGATGGGACAATGCATGAATACATTTGGGAACTGATAGAAGATATTCTGGCAACAAAGAGACGTGAGAGAAGATGTAGCCTGGGTGGCAGTTGGGCAGCTCAGGAGGACTTTAAGGCACCAGAGGAGGAAAAGGATGTATTTTATTTGCGTTTACAGTTTTGCCGTATAATGTATTAGGCACTGGATACATGGGGATCTGAAGGGAGGGAGTGGAACTGATTGGTCTCCTCTGCACAGAGGACAAAGGGACAAAATTAGGTTAAGCTCTCATTGTCCTAGAACGGTCTGTGCAAGCGTGGTATCGTGACTCAGCATCACCACATGCTGAGTGTTCGGTGCAAGACTGCAGTATTGCAAACTGAAGCAGGAAAGCCACCGATGTGGTCCCTTTCTTAGTGTGACCTCCGAGATTTGGTTAGCTCTTGGTGTCTGAGAGCTGGCTCCAAGAAAGCAAAGGTGCTGTGTGTCGGGAGCCCCCAGTGCCGGCAGGGACTCAGCTTTCAAGGCATACGCCTTGCCCCTTGCTCCTTTCTCTTCTGTCTGCTAAACTTCTCGGACTTCAGAGAGACGTGAAATCAAACTGTCAGTCTTCCTTAATGCTCCTCATCCAAAAACATTTACCATTTGAAAGCCATTAACGGTGCTCCCTCTACTGGTCACACCATTTGTGGACCGCACTGCGGGGTGTGAGGATCTGTGGGTCTGGTGGTGTGCGCCGCGTAGAAATGCAACTGCCCTACCTCAAGTGGCTACTTCTGAATCTTTCTGCTCTCCGAAATACGAGCCGATGCATTTTTAAAGCTCCTAATTGATTTTGTTCTGATGTAGCCAAAAGAGCTGCTGGCTGTTTGGACTGTTGATAATTACTTCAAAGCATGTCTTGCCGCAAGAAATGTCATCCTTCTCCCCCACCTCCACTACATTTCCTAACCTGCTCGCTTCGTATTTCCCTTTGGTCTCCCACGTGCCTGCAGCAGAACGCCCGTTGGCATTAATTAATTACATGAGTCATAAATAGCTCCAGGCTTCTTACCAGAGGAGCCCAGCCTCAGCCAGCCACTGATGCATTCTAGCATGACCTTGCAAGGATGCGCCAGTTCCCTCACAGCCCCCTTTTATATACATTATTTATCTTCTGCTCAGGGAGGCTGTCCTCTCGCAAAGTGGCTTCATTAACTTTTGCAATAGGATCTAAATGATGGGCAGTTAATGAATGTGGCTGCAGTTAGGCAGGCTGGCTTGTGGGTGCCGTCCCCTCGTACGTGTGCCGTGCGCGTGTTTCCAGGCGGTGGGACTCTGCGATAGCTGTGTTGGGTGGCAATGTTCCCACCTGGAAAGCCAACAAAGCACGGCTGCTGGTAGGAGGGCATCAAGTCGGAAAACTTGGGTTTCGTCACTCTCGTTCCCATTGCGCAGCTACGCCCGGCACTGTCGAGCCAAAGGCTTTGCCTAGCAGAGGGCAGGACCGGAGCTGTCGGAGCACGACGGGGACGCCTTGGTCCTGCTGCTCCAGCCCGGGGCTCCCCCGTGGTCAGAGCTGGTGCGTGTGTGTGCAGATGCGCTGGCAGCACATGTTTGCTGATAGCATGCCTGCGTTACCCCAGGCTCCAGCTGGTATTTTGCTTTCAGCAGAACTAATCGGAGTTTTATTTAATAATCCTTTGTTCTACCCATTCCACAGAGTTAAACATGCACTCCTATTCATGCTAATAAATGGTTGTGCAGGCCAGTACCTTCCCACACTGCTCAGAAAATAGATCTTGTAGGATGAGTTGCGTTTGTGAGTCTAAATTACTACTGTCATGAAAAAGGCTCCATCGCCTAGCTGGTGCTGAAAGCCCAGGAGGATTGTGTGACCCAGCAGCTGGGTGATCTGTGTCTCCCACAGAAGCACCAGATGCTTTAGCATCGTGCTTGTCTGGTCCAGTCCCGAGAAGCTGGGGATGCTTTATGAACCGCTTCATGCGAAGCGATATGTATTTCTTCTAGGGTGGCTAGTGGCTAGCTGATGGACCCCTTTGAACATCCGAGTCACGTACCGAAATCTTGCTCCGCCGGAAACAAAGTGGATCATCTCTTGGAGAGCGGAGGGAAGGGGCAGCAATTCACAGCTGAAAGACAGCGACAGCTCCTTCCCTGTGAGAGAAGGCTGGGCCTCGGGGAGATGCCGGTCTGACAGCCCCTCTGTGTTGCCTCCTCTCCTGTCCTCTCGGGCGGTGGCTGCGTGCCCTGCGTCGCAGCTGGCCGGGCGGCACAGCCCTGGC